GGAGGCTGGGAGGAACGCTGTGGCCTTTGAGATCCAGCTTGATCCAACCGGCAAGTCCCATGACATACTATCGGATGAAGGGTTCGCTAACGCAATCTACCAGACTCTGCGGCTGCGCATTGCAAGCGGAAGCCTGCATGCGCCTGTGTGCAGTACATGGGTGTTTATGTACCATGGCACAAATTGAAACAGGGTTCAAACAAGTGGGCCTGAATCAAACCTTAGCTCACCCCATGACAGATGCCCATCAAAAGGGGTTGGCATGCCCGAACATGTTTTGGCATGTGTTTGGTGTTTGTGAACCGAATCAACTGCCCGTGGTTCACCCGTGCACCGCTTCTGAGGAGCAGAGGCTCAACGGGGCGCTCAAAAGGGTCGCCGCTGGGGAAGAAAACGCCCAAGGTTTGTGAAGGAAATATCATGACTGCCAGAGTCTTGATCCTTTGCCTACTAGCCAGCTCCAAAGCTGTCTGGTGGCTTCTCGAACAACCACGGTCGAGCATAATGGAACTTCATCCAACATTCCAGCGTGTTTTGAGGGCGGTGGACGTGCGACGCCTGTTCTTCGACATGAACCAGTTTGGCGGGCCTACGAAAAAGCCAACTGTTCTGTACAGCAGCCCCCTGTCAGTGCACAGACTTTGGGGAGCATGTTTGGGTCACCTTCACACTCACCATAAATCATCTTTCAAGAACTGGCCATGGTTTCCCCCAATCTCTCTCGGTACAGTTTTGGTATAAGGTGGCTGCCAAATTTCCACTTGAATTGGATCCTGAAAAAGGCCCCCGCAAGTCCTATACCAGTAGCAAAGAATCCATATTTTGGAGGGGCCAAACTAGACTTGCGGGGGTCTTTTTTTCATGACCCAATCCATGGGTTGCCAAAGGTGGCCTGCAGGTCCTTATATATATCGAAAAAGAAGGCAGCTAGGCCACCTTCCAAAAACCAAGGTCACCCAGAGATTGATGACCTCTTGAACGAACGCAGGGCGCCGAGGGCAATTCAAAATGCACCAGAAATGACCGTGCGTTACATGGACAAATCTGGGAAGATGAGATGCAAAGGAGGGGCTGACCTCAAACAAAGTCAGCACTACCCTATGCGGCGACTTGCCTGGATATGTTCAACATGTTTGCGGTCTTTTTCTTTGGTACAAATTGGGTAGGGTAGAAGTGATGTTCAACAGCACCCTTCGATGTCCAGCCCCTCGCCATTCCCCATGGCAAGGTTCGGGAGGTCCATGGCAAAGGTGAGATCCAGAAAGCGCAACGCCGTCCGCGCAGCTGCTCGCCGCTTCCTGCGCCAGGCTTTCAAAACTACCAATAGCTTGGATACGAGCCAGGCAACTAATGCCCACTGGATCAAGCACGCCAATTTGATGCCCGTGCTTCGTTTTCTTGCTTCTCAGCAGTTGGGGGGCTGAATAGGTCCCTGCAATATGCCATCCTTGCAAAGCATGGATGTGAGATTACTCATTTCCAAAATTAGGGGGGCCACCATCACGCATGTGGGGTTGAGAACTTTGGGATTGGA